CTTTTAAAAAACAAGGTGGGAAACAAATGAGATACACAAGCTGTACATTGTTCACCTATCCTTATATTCAGGAATCGATACTATCTAAAGTAGAGTATACTAATGCACCCACCGATTGGCTTATTGCCACCCACTACAGAACCTAACATGTCAGGACTTGCACAAGAGTCCCAATACCATCTGATGTTGGAGGTCTCTTGTACTAGTCTTATGACTAGTCAGTGTTAAAAAATAAAATTAAAACGGAGAGGGAAGGTTAAAATACTTACTTTATAAATAGATATATCTAACTAGGAACCAGATGGTTAATACACAATTATTAATAGTAATACTAGACTAGTTAGTAATGAGCTACAATTTTAATTATGAATACTAAACTAATCTTTTTTTGTATATACCTGATAAGATTGTATATCACTAATACTCCCAGATATTATTTGCTCAAACCTCGAAAAAGAGTATATCACCTTCTTTGTTATCACTTGTAATATCAAATCAGTCCCTATTAACTAACTTTCAATTAAGCAAAATACTAAATTGAGATATTCTAAATTAGAAGAGTGAAATCCTGGAAGCTATCAATATAAAAGAAATTATATAATATTTAGATAATTACTACGGTTCTAAAAATAAGGTCTTAATATTTATTTCTTATTCAGTTTAGAGGGGATAGTCAGGTATAAATTATGTAACCAGACTAGAAACCTTTTTTAATGCAATTCTTATAATAGATCTATTTCAATCCTGTGATTAATAGGAGATCAAAGGTTCTATCTTTATATAGTCTGATTATTTTTTTTATATGATTCTTGTGTAGTATTGAACTTTGAACCTTATGATTGTGATCTGAGTGTGCTATCACTATATTATAGACCCACAAGTCTATTTATATTATAATTTTAATTAATTAATTAATTAATTAATAATAATTTTTTTATTATTTTCATCTTTATAATAGTTTGAAATTTTTTAAAATTTATAACAAATCTATAATATATCTTATGCTTATAAAATTATATTTACTTGAATCTTATTTATAATTGATATAATCCAATCTCCAATTAGTAGTAAAATAAATATCAAATTTAATTCTTTAAATATATACTCATCAATATTTCAAGAAATATTTTATAGAACTTTTCAATCAACATTAAATAAGTTTAAAAAATATATTGATCATCATTATACTATATATTACCATTATTTAAAGTTATTCAATGTTTTAATCCTCAATTTATACAAGTTAGTCAAACAAGATATAATATTCAAAGATATAGTAAAATCAAAGAATTTACAAATCCTAGTAGTATTATTTAATTTGAATAAGGAATTTATTGTGAATTAAATGAAGATTTTGAAGAAAATAATAAATTAGATTTAAATAAATACTGGAATGATAAAAAAAATCAACTTCCAAATTTATCTAAAATAGCATTAATGTATATTTGGCTTCCAGTATTGGGGGTTGATATACAGTATAAAGAAGTTTTTCATTTTATAGGAATATTCTTAGTGATAAACATTGTTTATTATCAAAGGAATTATATTTTTCGGAAAGTCGTAAAACCTAGTTCACATCACGTTTTCATATATCACGTGATCATAATTTTATTGTTTATTTGATTCAAAAATTCTCGTTTTAGTTCTAAAAATGGTGCGAAAACCAAATCTTAGAAAGAGGGGAAACCCAGATCCGAAAACTTTACGCAATCGCCTACTCGTGGAAATTATAAAAGAAAAGTTAGATACAAAACGTTTGATTTCCATTGATGAAAAGTCCGAAGTTGCAATATCATTTTTCGAAGAACTTAAATTCAAGCACGACCATCGAGTTCAAGCAGAGCAAACTCTTAGAGATACGATTGAATACTTATTAAATTACCATGAAAGGGAAGTAAGGCAATATGTAAAACATTTGAAGATCGATAATTTTCAGTTCCTTACCTCGCCAGCATGTCATCAATACTGGAGTAAGCTTGCGACTAAATCCTATGCAGAGGTACAAAATATAAATATTGTATAACTTTGAAGAATTTCGCAGTGGTTTCGCGTTTATTTCGAAATTTTTTTTTACCTTTTAGAAAGAGAATCTTTATCAACTTCAACATAGGGTCAATGCAGAAAAAAGAGTTATGGAATTTGATACTATCATCGGGCAAAAGTGGGTAGATGACCTTAACCATGAAATCAAGAGAAGACGCCGTGAAGTTAGTCCTCTGGAAAAATATTCAAATTATGATGTCAAAAGGTCAGCGGTAATATAAATTAATATGATTATCTATGTCTTTATTGACTTTCCATCTTGTGTCTAGCCTAGTAGAGAGTGATGTAGGGGGAGAAAATGACTATGACGAAACTGACGATGAATATGGCGATGAATTTTACAAGAGGTCCTACCCGTTGTTATAATAAATAATGTAACTATACGGTGAGATTAACTATGTTTTTATTAACTATTTTTTCATAAGAAATTTGATAGAGGACAATATAGGAAGTGAAAGCGAAAGTGATTACACGACCGATGATGAATTCGACGAAAGGTTATTTCCTGATTCTTGAGTTATGTTTTTTTTTTTTTTAATTTATATTAAATTCCATTTTAGTTATTGTACAGCTGAAATTATAAATATTTCCAATCGCGATGAAGATAAGCACAACGAATTGAAGCAATGGGCTCTTGAAAATCCAGTTCCAGATATCACAGATAAAGAAAAATATGCAATTGATGATTTCGTATTAGATGTATTTGAGGTACGTGTGCCAACATCGATGTATTACTGGAATTGCATAACAATAAAAACATTTTGTTCTATTATCATAAGCGCAATGTGGAAAGCACTATGAAGTCTATTCAAGAGAAAAAAGTTGACTTAATTCAAAAGGATGCTGAATTCATAAAAAGAATTTTGGATGCTTGGTGATATTATTAGCTGATTCTCAATTAATATTTATTCAGTTTACTGATATTATTCTAAATTCTTAGGGCCTATAGGTGGAAATCGGAATTTAACGAAACCATGAGCGAAGCAACATATACAGCAACATGGATTGCTCCTGATTTTGAAGTATTGAAGAACAAAGAACCCAATTTATTCATAAGTTCGTGGTGCGAAATGATACATCCATCATCAAAATGGCGAAGACAGAGCGTATACAAGTCTAATAAGAAGACTGGTCGAAAATGCGATGGAATACTTTTTGTAAATAATAGCAAGATAGAAAGATTGGTGTTCGAAAATGTATGCTCGCCAAAAAAAGAAAACCTTCCAAAATATCACAGGTACGTTAAGAGATTTGATTCCTGGAAACAACAAAATTATTTCCTAACAAATCGTATCTTGGAAATTTTTAGGGATTTGAATAAATCATTTCGTAATGCGGTTGATACTCTTTGCAGGAAATTCTGGACTAACAGGCAAGGAGACGCTGAAATATCTCGGAAATATATCGTATTAATATACATCGTACATAATTAAGTTTCCAAAATTCCATTACCTTCGAAAATGAATATTCGGTGCTGACTTTCAAACAACAAACTAGAAAATCAAG